TTTATGATTCTTCTTCGAACCTAATTGGACCTATCAACGAATGTAAGTGGATTGCGAAAGCATTTAGCGGCTTGTGAAACTCGGTGCCACGCTCATCATGATATGAAAGTATTTGGATGTTTCGAACCGAGCTTGAGTGGAGCAAGCAAGCGATAATATAACTTCCAAAACATACTCGGTTAACGTTTTGCGCGCTGTTGGACGCTGTTAACTGGGGATCCTCCTTTCCATCGATTACATTCTTAACATTTCCACTGGCTGACACTTGAACAGATTCACCATTCGTAGACTGACCTCCATCAATGTTAGCTCCACCGATTGTTTGATGCGAGTTTGCAGGAAGCGACTGTCCGCTAGTTTGCTGATTAGCATTATGAGTGACCGTTTGACCTTGTTGACCTGTCGACTGATTATCTACTTTGTTGGGCACTTGCTGATCGCTACCGCCCGCCCGTTGGTTAATACTGCCCGGCAATGGCTGAGCACCCATTGGCTTTACTTCAGGATTTACTGGCTGTGGAACGCTTGCTGGTTGAGAGGCAGCTCCGGGCACAGGTTGCTCAATGACTGTTTTAGGTGAATCTGGCGTGATTGGCTGCACATTTGTTGCCTGGAAAGTTCCTTCGGGTACCGGTTGGCCACCAGATGGCTGAAGGTTATCTCCAGGCAGCGGTTGACCTCTCGCTGGTTGAGGAACACCACCGGATACCGACTGACCACCCGATGATGGTGGGTTGCCCTGGGGAACTCTTTGAGCTCCCGCTGGTTGTTGAACGTTTCTGAGCGCTGGTCTAGCACCAGTATGCTGAGAGTTATCTGCAGGAAGTTGTTGACCACTGGCCATTTGAGGTGTATCGCCAGGCATCGCTCCAGCTTCTGACGGTACTGCTTGGAGCGTCTTTGCCGTGGTTGGAAGTGCTGCAGCTACACCAGCTTGAGGTTGACTATTCGTTGCTTGAGGTTGTGCCACTGGTTTGGGTAGTTGAGGTGCAGGTGCCGGCTGTGTTGGCACTTTTGCGGCGTCATTTGATAACGGCTGCGATGAGGTGGTAATGTCAGGAGGTGGATTATTTCTTATTTGCTGTGTTTGTGACGGTGGTACTTGAGCCTTCAAAAACAACATCGGAACATAATCATACATCTCCTATGTGGTCACTGATCATCAATCAACAAATCTCTTCGTATTTTCACATGGGACTTTCCCTAAATTCCGCTTCTGGTTCCAAAAAAATTGAAATCGAAATTGAGTGTTCGGTGTTTTTAATCTGCTCGGGAACTAGCTTTTCCGAAAGGATTTTGGCCCAAATCAGACGCTACTCATTTAAATGGTTATGCGATCTCACAAATAGTAAAAATTCTGGTTCACAGAACTTGACCAATCCGACGGCACCATTAATTTTCGAAACCCTTCCGACGGATTTATCGCCGTTGGCTGTTCAGTAAAAGCATCACTTTCACGCTCAGCAATACTTATAAAAGTGAAACGATCTGGCTTTAGAACTATCCGCTTGGCTGCTCTTCATTTCCACTCAGCAAATTGTAAACAAATAAACTATCAAAAAGCTCTTTCGTGTGGATTGAACCTTGTTTGCAAAATGAAAGAAATCTAATGAACCGCTTACAGTGGGTGGTGGTGGTGGTGGCAGTGCTTGATTTTGTTGATGATTTTCAAATGCGTGAGCATATTCCATACCATCATGTGAATGTCCATGACTATGAGCATGAGCATTGTTGTGAGAGTGACCATGTGAGTGAGCCTGCCGCAATGCTGGAATTTGGAGCAAACAAGTATTTTCAACTGTCCTAGGCAAGCAATAATGAACAGTGCACAGCAAGACACATATATTCAATTCCTTTCCACGACTAGTTTACATGTCACAGAATGAAGCATTAAATGAGACAGGCAGAAAGAAAGAATGACTGAATGGATCAGCTGGTACAGCTAGTCAATCATGTTAAACAAGTCTGAAGCGACCACCTGTTCTGCTTGAAAAAGTTGAAAAATTCAGTTCATAACTAAAAAGATGATTCAGAATATGTGTGACTGGTCTATTTGACAATTAGTGAATCGAGAAACGAATTTCAACCCTCTAAAAGCTTACAACTATTTGATCAATAGTATAATTGAAAATTTAACAATTTATAGGTTGAACATGAAATTAATGCACAATAAATCAAGAAACGAAGAAATGCCAAACGAAAACCTTCTAAAGCGACGGGATCCAGTGAAGCAAAATTGAGGGGCAACGGCCTGGGTATGACACCTTCAACAGCCAATTTGTGCGAATTCACTTCATAATCTCTCACGAGTCCCGGGAATGCTGATTGTTGACCTTCAATATTACGCTATGTATCTGACATAAAATCAGCTTCATTACTCGAATAAACACCAACCTACACGCATGCGACCACCTTCGATTTTCCACCGATTTAACACAAACTACATGCAACTCGCCGACCATCAAATTCTAGAGTACAGCTCGAAGAGGGTCAAGAATATTACAAAAATGAATCAGTAACGACCGCGGCTGTAATGTGAAAGTACCGTGGCAACATACCAACGAGTTTCTTGGATGGCAACTCGTCACGTGGATCCGTACTGATCATAAAAAGCGTTTTGTTTGACTCAACGGCATTCTTCAAAAAGTTCACGTAACCGTCAAGTGTGATCTGTGACGAAAACAAATTACCGCGTTGTTCTGGATTCCTGACAAGCTGCAAATAATGAATCGGTCAGAACAAGTCACAACTAAGCTAACAGTCACGTTTGCCTTCTTCAAGTCTCAAGCTCCTCTCGATAACATTCAAAGTACTTACAGCGCCCTCCATAAGATCAATACGATCGCTGAATTTGATGGC